TATATATATATATATATATATATATATATAGGTGGAGGTTCAAACGAAAACACCTCTATTTTACGAGAACGCGAGAACATCCTTGTCACATGTGATAATACACTTGAGGGGACTTGGTGGTGTATGGATGTCGTGCCTTGCGACTTAGGTCGCACTAAAGGTCGTCTGAGTTTATGATTTAGTATCACATATGATGGTCTTGATGAATTATAGTATCACATTAATAACACATTTATCACATGTGATAGTACATGTGAGGGGACTTAGTGGTGTAAGGGCGACTTGACCTACAACCTAGATCATGTCAAAAGTCATCCACGTCTCTGATTTAGTATTACATATGTATCATATGTAATTGAATAATTGTATCACATGTGATTGTTTATGATAAAAGAGTGTTCTCGTGTTCTCGTAAAATAAAGGTGTTCTCGTTTGAACCCTTATATATATATATATATATATGTGTGTGTGTGTGTGTGTGTGTGTGTGTGTGTGTGTGTGTATTCCATGCTCAACGAAATGTGCCAACCTCGGGATGCTTTATAACACCAACGTTGAATGTTTTATCTCTCATGCTACGTTTATATGTGATTTCGTTATAAAATTGACTCTCCTTTTAACGTTTTTAAAACTTGAACATCATGAACCAAATTTCATAAAATATACAAACCGATCAAGAACCAAAGTGTATATTAACGTTATTTGATAGGTCTGATCTCAATGCCCTCCACAATAAGCCCCCCTTTCAAGTGAACACCATCCACCTCTCTTAACCTCATTTTAACATCTTTCTCACGCTTTTCATCATTGTAAAATTCACCCAATTTTATCTCCAACCATCCATCCATTCGCTTTCTAGGAACATCGTCCCCAAATTTTGGTCCAAGACCCTTGTTATCCTCGTTTCTATGGCAAACACGCTCAGAGGTGCCCTTGCTACAATCATCGCAAGACAAGATTATCGTCCCTCGTGAATGGAATTCACCTACTTCAATTGAAACCTCCATTGGTAGAATATCTAACCCATAAGCACGATAATGAGCCACTTCAATGACGACATAAGCTCCATAAATGGTATCAGGTGATAAAACTCGGGTGCCAATCTTTCCTTGGATTTCAAGCCAACTCGTCATTCTGAGCTCCACTGCTTCGCCAAATCTATAAAAATTAAATCTCAATCAAAATATAAATATGCGTACACTTGAACATGGTTGGGTTCCAATAATAGTAAGACCATCTAGTCTTTGTGAGATCCGTGAGACTACTATAAAGGTGTGGGGTGTAATTTATATATATGAAGATTCGTTTATATTTTTCATGTGAAGATTTTTTATTTTTGATCACATGAATATGAGATCCAATTTTCGCATTTCCTGCTGAGATCCCAATTCTCCAAGTAGGCCCTCTAGTGAAGGTTTCGGTGTTTTTTAATGTAACGATTACTAGATTAGGTGTTTTTTCCGGTGAATATTCAGCAAGATTAACTCATCGAAGGGCTTCAAGGTGGTCTTATAGCCTCACAAAAGCTAGGCAGGGAATGAGACTCGCCCCATTAGAGAACCGTTGTACCCACCCTGACGGGTACGGGGATTCCCCGCAAAACCGAGGACCAGAGATGGGTACGGGGATGCCTAAAAGTTAAAAACCAGGGATGGGACAGGGTCAAGAAACATGATCCCCACCAATAATTATCTCCTAGATAATATCATTATCCTCTTGTTTTTAAATCCTTGTATGTTGTATTTATATCTGGCTTCAATTCTATACGTCTAACTCACCATTGAGAAAGGAAACCATATTTAAGTTTAACATATGTATATTTTTTAACGTGCTTTACTTTTTCTATATAAAAAACATGGAAAGTCGAAAACGTTTGATTAAACAATTATGTATGATGTTGTGATTTTGTTAATATATTAATATTTGATACTTTATAAAAACACAATTGTGGAAATATATGAGATTTAAACATGGACGATTATGGATCGAGTGTCGTGTTTAACACATATGATGTAAAATATCTCACATAAATGGGAAACAAGTTCTCCGATTTCCTGTTGGGGATCCCCGTTCCTCGATCATTGCCCATTGGGACGGGGATATGTTCGTATTTCCTGCGGGAACGGGAACGGGAACAAGGACGAGGATGGGGGCGGAGAAAAGGGATAAGTAACGGGCATGAGTAACAGGTCCTACTCTATCTCCGCCCCATTATCAGTTGATCTCTCACATGATCTTTTAAGTCTTATCAAAATATATATAAATACTAATCACGAAACATATAGGTAGATATATAGGTTAGTAACCTGGACTGGAGAAGGGGTTTCCAACACCAAAAGAGAGGATTGGCTGACCAAGCGATGTAGAGATCTCTTGCACTTAACATGTAACATTTCTTACCCGTCTCTTTGTCTATTGAGAACGTCTACAATAAATGCAACAAACTTTCAAAACGAAAAACCAAACCTAAATCTTTTTAATACACACACACACACACATATATATATATATATATACATATAGGAAATATCAAACGAGAACAATACCTATTTCAAAGAATATAAAACCGAGTGAATTATATGTGATTTTACATTAACATCACATACAAAATTAATGTGATTAAGGCAACCTTGCCTGACGACTGAAGATGCAGCCACATGTCGCCATGAAACTTTTATTGACCATTAAGGTAAATCCTATGTGATTTTACACGTAATTTATCCGTTTTCATGTTCTTTTATATAAGTATCATTTTTGTTTGATCCTACCTATATATATATATATATATATATAGAGAGAGAGAGAGAGAGAGAGAGAAAAAAGGGGGAGATTCAAAAGATAACATAGTAAAGTAAGTAAGAAAACACAGAAAACATTTTTATCACATATGATTAAGGAACAAAGGGTTGCGTGCATGGCTCGACCATGCAACCTAGGTGGTTTGATCATGTTCTTAGTTCATGTAATTTGAATCTAATTAAAATCATATGCGATAAAAGTGTTCTTGTGTTCAAATACTTTGATTATGTTCTCATTAATTTCAACCTCGCATCTCTCTCTTTCTCTCTCTCTCTCTCTCTCTCTATATATATATATATATAAATATGTCGATGTATATATATACATAGAGACGGACTTGAGATCATGTAAGACCAATCTTGTTTCGTGAGATCCATGAGACCACATAAATCATACTGAATATTCACAGCAAAAAAACTGAAGGTTTGTAAGTGTTTTTGTTGTGAAAGTTCGCTATTTTACACGCCTTCACAATGAATTGTTTTGAAGTTTCAACGTTATTTTGTAGTCTCATGGGTCTCATGAAAAAGTTGGTCTTACGTAAAACCAACGCTAAAGAGATATATATGTATGTGTGTGTGTGTGTGTGTATATATATATATATAGGGGAACGTTCAAATAAAAACCACTCAATTTTAAAAACCGTGAAAACCTCATTCAACCGATCATAATTTTTCATTTTGTTCATATTTTTGTAATTATGAGAGGTTGATTAACCATTTTTATTGTGAAGGGTGTTAATCATGGATATTATCATCTTCATTATTTTAATTTTAGAGAAATACATGAAGCAGTTTAATTAAAATTTCATTAAATATTATATGAAACAATTTCATAACCATATATGAAACAAATTAATCAAAAAAAGTATTATATGAAATAATTTCACAAGATTAAACAATTTCATGAAAAAAATTCATAAGATTAAACAATGAAATCKACGTATGAGGGTGGTTTGTACGGTTTTTACAAATGAGAGTGGTTTTCATTTGATCGCTCTTATATATATATATATATATATATGTAAGAAAGAAAAACATCCATTTTATTCAAATAGATTATACCCTTCTGCCACCATCAACGAGAATAGGTGTTGAAAGCTTGAAGAACAGTTCCTTGTTGGATTTAAACATCACCGGAAACACACTTCTGGATATGATTTGACGGTGATCGGGTGGCAAAAACTTACCCCACAACACCTCCGACTCTGCAGCGTCTCTAAACACGGAAGCCACCACGGCCGACCGACATGAGTCACGCGGTGACCCAAAAGAAAGGACGTGAGCGATGCAATCTTCCGGCAAAACCTCCATTAATTAATCTAATTGGAATATGGAAATGGGAACGACAAATGAGTTGTTAACATAAAGTGTGTAACAGATGACAACATAACTTGGAGATATAAAGACATATCAAGTGTCGTCACATGTGGTCATAATTTGGGAACGTCGACTTCTTTTATTTATGATAAAAAAAAAACCTACCAAACTATTAATTTTGAGTCATTAAGTTTAAAAAAAAATTGAATAACTTTTTCAAGTTATGATATTGTGATTATTATTTGAATCTAAAAAATAAATAATTATTATTTTTTCTTATAATCCTTATTTGAATATGAAAAAAAATAATGAAGAAAGGAAAGGTGTTTAATCATTTTTTTATTAGTTTATTAAACTTTATTACTAAGAAAAAGTCTAAAAAAAACTATAAAAACTTTATATTAAAGGAAAAATCTAAACAAATTCAAAAACTTTCTCATTTTAAATGGTTTAGTTACTAAATTATTTTTTAAATAAAAAAACAATTAAACTTTCTTATTTTGAACAATTAAGTCTCTGAACTATTTTTTAATGAAAAAAATCATTAAACATTCATATTTTGAATGATTAAGACCCTGATTTTAAAATAAATAAATAAATCATTGAACATTTACTAGTCGGTTAATGCAATTTTTTTTGTTAAAAGAATGTAAGTAACTAATTTTTAAAAGCGCGATGATTTTTTTAAAAATATTTAGGGGGTTAATCAATCAAAATGATATTTTATGATGGTTTTTTTATTCAAAAAAATAATTCAGAAACTTAATTATTCAAAATGAGAAAGTTTACTGGTTTTCTTAATTCAAAAAAATACTTCAAAAATTTAATCATTTAAAATGTGATAGTTTAAAGACTTTGATTATTTATATAAATTGATTATATTTTTTCATGTCAAATCAACATATCCACAAGTACGAGTATGCTCTATATGTTTTTCGTACATATTTAATCTATGTTGATATGGGACAATCCATGTGTTTGCATCTTGAAGTTGAGAACGTGTCCAATGATGCATAAGTGTGGGCATTGGGTATTCTCCGATGAATACCACCTTTATGTAATTGTTACCATTAAGATGTACTATTGTAATTGTCATGAGTTGAGATGATGACGACGAATGTGTCCTGAACGGTAAGGGCTTGGGTCTTTCATAGAAGTGAATTCTTATTAGCCCGATATTGAGGAAGAGAGACTTTTATTAAGAGATTTCCTACGTCTATTTAATATTTCATTGGACGAGAAAGGTATTTTTACTTCATTTTAAATCAATAACTTTATGTTAAATTAATAAATTTATTTTATTTCAAATCAATTAGAACATTTATATTGTTAAAAAATTAAATTTTCTACGATTGGAAGATCGTGACACTACAAGAAAAAAAGGCTTTAGAGAAGGAATTTTTAAAGAAGGTTTTAAAAGTGTATCTAAAGATATATTATAGAGAAAAAAATGAATGACAAAAGTAGAAAACTTAAATAAGGTAGGATGAGTTTTAGAGAAATATTTCAAGTTAAATCATACATTATCAAAATTGTCTCTAAAAGTTTTAGATAATTTTTTTTTATAAAAAAACTTCTAAAAAATATGAGAGGGGCTTTAGAGACCTTTTTTAAAATAAAAACCTTCTCTAAAGTCTTTGTTTTAATTATTTATCAATTTTATTAAAAAAATAATATTTTTTTATAACCCATCGCTCCAATCTCTCGACTCTATCTCTCTCTCTCTCTCTCTCTCTCTCTCTCTCTCAGTCTCCTCGTCGCCTTCGTCATGTCTCTACCGATTTCGCCTTCACCTTCATCAAATTCTCACCATATTTTGCTATCGCCTCCATCGATTTCTCAGCCGAGGTCCCGTCGTCGTCTCTCCATCATGATTTTTCTCAATTTGGTTTCATTTATATACATAAATCAGGTATGTTTTCTGCCCTAATCTGGTTCATCAACATCAAAGACTTGGTGGTTAGTTTTGAGGGAAGAAAATAGAAACTACAATTACCTCTATCTTTTTATAAATTTTGAGGGAAACGGAAAAAAATAGAGGTGTTTAGTTTTTAGGTACTTGACGTTTAGCCAAGATTTTGAGAAGAGCAGGGGAGGCAGTCTTTGATTTTTACGTTTAGCCAAGTTTAGTATTTATCATATAATGGGTTTTGATTTTGATTTTCTACAAATTGGACTTGATTGGCATGACTTGCTAATGAACTTTATTAGGGTGAGCATGACATTGAAACCTGCAAAAGTTTTCTGGATGTTGGATGGTAACATTATGCGAGTCGAGTGCTAGGGCATTAGTTGAGTTGTTGTTTGTGATTTAACAGTGGTTAATGAGCTGGAGAGTGTGCAATCAGCAAAGAGTAACTTTTCCCAACTATGTAAGGTTTGTCTAGCTATAATGGTTTAGGAACTTGCTTGTAATGTATCAGGATTACACACTCAGCACCTAGGGACGATACTTGGATATGGAGGCTCTTAGAGATCTTCTTTATGATGTGTAGGCTGTAATGTTAGTTTTAGTGTTGCAATTAAGTAAGCATTACAGAATGAAGTCAATTTTTTTCACAATCTTGAATGTCTATATTTGATGGACTTTCAAGAATTGTGATGACACCCATACCTACCAGGCTATCCAAATTATACATCTATAGCATCTTCTCCAGCTATAAGAAATGCCCCACACCCACTTTGTTTCACGTCATGTAAAATATATCCTGAATTGTTTCCTCTTGGAACTTCCACACATGGGGGAGATTAGTGCCCTACATCACTATGGCCATCTTTTCCTCAATCACTAGACAATGCTACAGTGAGATGTTTATCAATTCTGATCAATATGATTATGCTATGCTACYTAACAGTGGTTTTGAAGYTTGATGGTTCAGATTGCGATGAATTTGGAAACGACTTGTAAGAAATTCCTGAAGTTGTGCCAATTACATCTAGCCGTCAACTTCAGGATGCTCCTGCACCTAGTAAAGCGGACGAAGACAGCAAAATTCAGGCCTTAATTGATACACCAGCCTTGGATTGGCAGCGGTGAGCTCTCCCTCTGAGTTTTAGCCTCCTTTCTTGTGATTATTTGTTTTCATGTGGGGGATTTATGTTGGCTTCTTAACCTGCAGCCAAAAATTTTATGGCTTTGGCGCTGGTAAAGGCTTTGGGCGTGGCTTTGTGAACTCATCTACTCTGTCCTATTGATGTGGAATGATACTAGTTTACTTCCCTTGATCTTTACAACTAAGAATTATCATTTGATTGTTGCTGAGATTGGTTATGCTGTTAGTCATTGTAGGATCACCAGACATGAACTCATCTACTCTGTCCTGTTAATGTCTCCTTGATTATGGCTCATCATCTACTTGTAAAATTGATATTTTTATGCAAGAACATGATACATCAAGTCTTTTAGACTTGATGTATATAACATGTCTAAGTTGTTTGTCACAACCACTTCCCCCCCCAACATGACTTTGAGTGGGTAATATTGGGTTTGGTTTGGAATTTGTTATCATATCTTTTTGTAGATGTGTTTTTATCTCATTCTCCTGTTGATTTAGATTTAATTAAATACTTTGTCATGAACACTAGGACATATTTATTATGTTGTTTTCCGGTCTTTGAAGTGTCCATGTTTTTAGACATTGAGAAGATGCTGAAGTTCTCTAATCTAATTAGCACTTGTGAAACAATRGCTTAGTGTGCAAGGTGTCTGCATTTATGGTTTCAGGGAGAAGTATCTTGTCTGCTCGACAAACACTTGATAAATAAATTGCAAATTAGAAAGTTTATGATAAAATGCGAAGAGGTTTGAAATGAGTAGTAGTTGTTCAAAAACAACATTTACTGTAAATACCCGACAAATTAATCTTGAAATACTTCCTCTATTGATAATTTACCTTTGGATCAGGGTACTAAAAAACGGAGGGATATTCCTTTGCCTTCAACTCAGCCATGTAGAAGCTCCAGTTTTCAAACAGCTGTAAGTATCTTTAAACTTACACTTGAGTAGTTATGAGCATTTTAATTACAAGACCTTTCAAGTGTTGAAGAAATTACATTCTAACTCTAAAAT